CATTTCATCGAAGGGTTAGCAACCCCTATGCCAAGAAGATATTTGAAAGAGGAGGTATACAAAGACCCACAGTTGACCTTCCTTCAGGTCAGGAACTCAGCGATCCGCAGGTCCGAGTATGAGGACGAATCGAACTGCTCGGTAGACAAAGTCTCTGTGCCGGAACAGAAACAATCACCACCCACAGGGACCGGCACGATGGAAACCATGATGGCTCAACTGTTGGCTCACCTGGATAAGTCTGACCAACGGTTGGAGAGGTTAGAAAGCAGGTCAGCAGCAGATAATCAGGGCAAAAACTGGACAAAACATAGACAAGTTAGACAGCCGCGACCTGCCAATCCATCACTCCAGTGGACAGCTGACGGTTGACCAATCTGCCTGTCCTGCTCACAGCCCGGACATATGGCACGGTACTGTCCGGTGAAACGATCGCCCTATGTAAGGCAGGTCCAGGCTACAGAGGGGCGAGGTTATGGCTTAAGAAACAAAATGGGACAAACAATGAAAGAGTCTCAAACAAGACTTGAAGAGAAATTATCAGATATTGAAAAAGAACTTCAAATTACACACCACCCCCCCCCCCCACCCCTCCACCCCCCCCCCCCCCCAAAAAAAAAACATGCCTACCGTCCCATTCAACGAAATATAATTATATACTTTTTCCAGTGTCCGCCCCTTCCCCGAAAATTCTACCCCCGCCCCCGAAAATTTCAAGTACCCCCACCCCTCTCTGGGGAGGAAAAAGTCTAAACTAAAACCACCCCACCCCCCACACACACCACCCCCCACCCCCCACACACACCACACCCCCCACCCCCCCACCCCCCCCACCCCCCCCCCCCCCCCCAAAAAAAAACATGTCTACCGTCCCATTCAACGAAATATAATTATATACTTTTTCCAGTGTCCGCCCCCTCCCCGAGGGGGGGGGGGGGGGGGTCTCAGACATTCTTACGCGGGGGGTGGGGCTTCGCCCCTACCCGAAGAATTGTATGCAAGAAACTCTTCACGCAAACCATTAAGATTAGACAACATTTCCTTTTTATTCAATGTTAACGCGAAAATCAATGACGTCATATAACTTTGAGCACTCTCTGGGTTTGAGATTATTTTCTACTCTGTGCGCTAAATGTGTCGACGTCATACTTCGTTTTTCGAATTACTGTGCATGTTTTTATTTTCCTTGTGTTTTCTCTAGAGCGTTCTTGTCAGATAGATAGATAGACAGACAGCGAAACTATTAGTATTAATTAAAGTAAATGACAGAAACATTCAAATTTTTTTATTGTACTATAGTCTCAATCAATCAATATTATCATTAGTTACAACAAGTTGAACTTTTATGGCATTTAGAATTACATAGCAGCTTGTTATTTTTACACTTGCAGCGATTTGTTGTGCACTTAGTTGTGCAATTGCAGCGAGTGTAGCCTTGGCCCCCAGTCAATGATTGTGAAGATGCGATGGTTCGTAGTGATTTTTCCTCAGTGCTTCCTCAGTGCCAACTGACGTCAATAAGAGCAGTTTTTCGTGAAGAATTGAAAACTCACTTCTAGCATACAGTTGTTTTAAATAGAACACCATGTTCCGTTCCTAATTTGTAGAAACCGCCCTCGGCTCTCATGACAACTGCAATGACGCTTCGGGGATCACTGCGACCTCTGTCAACATCTGGAACACGGATGCGTACATTGTCACCCACTTCACCATCTTTAAATTTTGTATTTGATGTTTTAAGCATCTTAGTACCTTGAGTTTGCAAGCCAGCATGAGGAGCTGACCTGTGTTCCATGGTGTCTTGTTTGTTGTGACACAATCTGCAGGTAATGTTCCCTTTGTACCCTTCGTCTGCTTCATTGGGTATTCCACAAATAGCATGGACATCGTTGCCACAGGATCCACAAGAATGAGCTGCACTACAATGTTTTTCACAAACTATACAGAATCTGTTGGCCACATTATTGTCACGCAACTGGTATGGACGTTCCGCCACGGCAGCAGATGTGTTAGCTGAGGATGTCGTTGCATTTATGGCAACCTCAATTCCTTGTTCAATGTTCTCAAGATCTTCCTCAGTAACTATTTTATCGAGAGCCTCTCTTGGTAGATTTGAAGTGCTAAGTCCACTTTTGCTTTACATCCAAACAAGGCTTCGTATGGCGATTTTTGGATTCCTTGATGAAAAGAACGATTTTTCATAAATTGAATGAATTTGAGACTCTCAACCCAATGAGCTGATTCATTTGTTTGCATCCATGTCATCATCATGTTTTGAACATCTTGGTTAGAACGTTCGACTGAACCTTAGCTTTGGCTATACATTGGTTTTCCGTGAACTAGTTTAAGTTCAGGCCACATGTTCCTTAGTTCAGAAATAACTTGATTCACAAATTCTCTTCCATTATCTGATTGAAACACACTTGGGGCACCAATAGTGAAGATATTTATCATGCAGTCCAGTCAAGACGCGGTGATGGGTCTGCTTTATTTGGTAGTCCCCTTTTGTTGAGGAAATATGGTTTCTGACGCCCACGCCATCTCAAGTCGCTTGGACACTATTGTTCAACTTACAAGGAACGCGGCAAAGTCTTTTGAACGTTCCGTCTTGTTGCATGTGGTCGGTGACGCCGACTGTCTTTGATTTTGTTCTTTGATGATTGTCTCAACTCGTCATCATGGAGGAGGCTGTCACATACAGTTGTAGCCCATATATGGAAATTAACATGGATTTACATTTTTTTCTTTTGACAGCCATCTGCTATATCTGTCTCATGGTCTGACGGCCCTTTTGATCCATGTCGCCTTGCATATAGAATGCTATACAAACAAGAGCTAAAAAATACGTTACTCACACTGGAACCGCACCCAGAATAATGAAAACGCGATCACAACTTAGTCTAGATAGAACATTGGCCAGGACATCCCGGCCAGTGCGCGCATTGGCCGGCCAATGTACAAAATACGATCTTAGTGCTAAGTTCTTCGGGCTTGCTTTGGCCAAGAGAGCAGGCCAATCCGCGCTTTGGCCGCACTTCGGGCGTTGACCGTAATATATATATATATATATATATATATATATATATATATATATATATATATATATATATATGTCAGGGACGTAGAGGGACGCTCTCGGGGGTCTCCGATTACACTACCACAGGGGCGCATTGTACGGCCCCTGATTCCTTAAAACTAACGAAGTGCTATAGTGCTCACAAGATAACCCAGGGCGCTAAATAGCACCCTACCTGGGCGCCGGGAAATGCCCCTGATTATGTTTAGTGAACGACTCTAAGACCCCATAGTCTATCGCACAGTAACTGTTGAAAACTAACTTAGGCGCTGTAGCGGGGAGTTCCTGTACAGCCCATCAGGGTTTGTCTTACGAAAATTAAGAAGCCTTAAACGTTACAACTTTAAAAAAATTATTTTATCTGGATTTGCAACTTTGATAATGACTTTAAAGAATTAAATTCCTGAATTATTTTCAATAATTAGGGGTCATCCATAAATGACGTCACGCTTTTTTTGACGATTTTTACCTCCCCCCCCCCCTCCCTTCCGTCACAAAAAGCCAGACACCCCCCCCCCCCCTTCTAAAATGAAGTCACACCTCAGCCAACAACCCCCCCCCCTCCCCCCTCAAAATTGCAGTTGAATTTTTTTTTTAAAACATCGATATTTTTCTAAAATCTTGTCTGAACTCTGTCAAAATAGAGTATTTTAATCAATTCCTATTACAATTTATTAAAACAGTTTTCTAAAACGCGAAATAACGTCTAAAATTCGTTTGCTGCCATTGCTTTTTTATACTGCAAAAGTGTGACGTCGCACCATCTTAACCCCCCCCCCCCCCCCTCCCCTTCATCACACATCGTCACAAAATTATGGACCCCCCTCCCCCCCTACGAGTGTGGCGTCATTTATGGACGACCCCTTAATACTTTCTAATTTATTTAGGGCAGGGGTCGGAAATCTGCGGCTCGCGAGCCGCATGCGGCTTTTTTTTATGTCAATATAATAATAAATATACGCAATAAACACTCGCTATTCTATTAGAATATTTAATTACTCCCTAATTCAATGTACTTCTTTGTTTTCTAAAACTGAATTATATAAATATAAACAATGCCTGTGCATCATATTTATCGGGGCACGGGTTTACCTACACTACCGCCTTGAGTGTAAGTTAATCACTCACCGTAATATCACAGATTGTCACTCACCGCTTAAGTGTTGGGGATGGAAAGTGGCACTCTAGCTCGGTTTAATCATCGAATGCAGTGTGCTGCAATATAAATATTGTAGGGTGCTCATTAAAACTAACGTAGGTGCAGTGCTCGCAGGATAGCCTTGGGCGCCAAATAGCATCCTAAATAGACGCCGGAGGACGCGCCTGATTCGATTTAGTGACCGACTGTATTGTATCCACAGCCGATCGCGCTGTTTAAAATGGTGCTCACGGGTAAGCACGGACGCCAAATCGCCTAATGCCGGTGCGCAGGAGGGCGCGCCTGATTCGATTAAGTCAACAATATTTGTTGCCCATAGTTTATAGCCTTTTTTTTTTTAAAGCGAACGTAGGCGCAATAGTGTTCGCAGGTGAGCCCGGAGCGCCTCGGGTTGCGCAATCGACGGTTGCGCCTTTTGCTGCTGAATATAGTAGTATCCCTTACCCGCTATGCAGGACGCCCGATTAAAGGATGCTGAGTGCTAATACAGCCCTTGCGTGGAACTCTGGGCTCAAAACCGTGTATTGACAAAAATTGCACCTCCCGGCGCCACCTAATAAAAAAAAGTTCGCAGAAAAACCTACTCGAAAGTATTCTCATCTACTCTCTAAAGTTTCATGGCACTTGAATGAACGGTGTCAAATCGTATATAGAGAAAAATCGCAACCCCCCTCAAACTTTCAATTTGGCGCCCCCCCCCCCCGCCCCCTCGTTACGCCTTATATATATATATATATATATATATATATTAGTGGCTATTTAAAATCTGGGAAATTGTGTAAATTGAAACTTTTAGCTCTTCCGCCTCAAAAGGTTGCAGACTCCTGATTTAGGGTATGCTAACAATATAGGCCTATAACCTAATTATAGTTTAGGAAAAACTGGTCTTAAATGAAGGAAGTTTATTTTTTTTCTTTTTTTTTTGTAATTAAAAAAAAATTTACACTTTGTGTAATACCATTTTTAATACCTGTAGGCCTCAGCAAAAAAGTCAGCTATACACATCAAACAATACAATAGTTTAAATCATAATTAAAAAATAGTTGAAATTAGGGTAAGTAGTATAAAACAATCTGGCTAATTATGAATAAAAATCTTGGATATTTGAAAGAGATAATACTCAGGTAACAAAAAAAATTTACTCAATCTGCTGAATTTCTTTTCTATTTACCATCTATTGAAATTGAAAGCACATCATTCATATTCTTATTGATTAGGGAAACGTTTCATGATTTTATAAATAAATAAAAAAATCACACAAAATACAAGATTAGGCTGCAATTCTCGATCATAGTCTGAACATAATAAGTACTTCAATTATAACTTATAGCTGGACAATTTGATAGAATTTTTAAAAACAAAGCCAGATCTAACTAGTGCTAGTATATCCAATTAAAAAACAAATATAAACTAAGTTGAGCATTTTAATCAAACAAAAAGTATATATATATATATATATATATATATATATATATATATATATATATATATATATATATATAAAATGTCCCCACGAGAGAATAGGCCATTTATCACAATTATGAAAGAACATCTCATAAAAAGTTTAGACATGTTAAGCATTGAAAAAAAGAAAGCTAAGTGATGAGAGAACACTAATGTTGTTGTTTTTTAAATACAGTAAAAAGAACACACTAATAAGCTTGATGGGTATGGATTGATAAAAATCCCTATTGCTTTTGCTCACTTTACAACATTATGTTTAATCTATACTATGAAGCTGAAATGGACACAGTTTATCTGTTTGCATGTGATAGAAAAGCATCTATTTATATAATTTTCTTCATTGGGACCATGCGAGACACCACGTATACGCACGCCGTTTCTCCCCCGCTTTCTAGGCATATAGCTACCACCCCCACTATTCTGGAGAGCTAAGGTTCACCCCGAATGTTTACAATTTTAGAGCCGGGTCGAATTAATAACCGCTACCAGGGGCAGATAATTTAGCTTTTAAACAATTTGAAACTAAGGAGAGGTAAAAAAGCTCTGCTGGATCTTTAAAAAACTGTCGTTACGGATGGCTGCTTTCATGGTGGCGGGGGAATGGAAGGGAGGGTAGTATCGAATTCACTAACTATGTAGTACTGAAAAGTAGAAAATAAAACAACTAAATAGCGGCCTATGATACACAGCGGGTCAGCTTGTATAGTATAAAACTCCATTTGATCACCATTGTCGTGCAATATTCTTATGCTTTTAATTTTGTACTTAAACTTAACTTGATGTCTAGAAAACTCATTATTTATCATTTGTAAAATAAGCGTTAATTTTTACTTAAACCTTTTAATTAATGTAAAGTGCAAACAATTAAAAAAAGTGTGTATCCTTCACACAAAAAAGGGGGGGGGGGGGTGACGACACCGTGAGGAGCTGCACTCTAGCCATGCCTCAAGACAAAGATATAACAAAAGTTTTGACCTAATGTTTTCATCAGCACATATCAGTGTAGTTAAAGGCTGGACAAAAAAAAATAGTAACATAATTTGAACTTGATCATTTGTGCAAACATGTCTTATCTAAATGCCACAATATCCACGACGCATGTTAAAGGTTGCATTGACAACACAAAGTGGGGAATGGGGCGTGGTGAACAGGGTGGTCAGATGAAAGGTACCTGCTCGTTTAAGCCATTTTTTTTGTGCTCTAGTGCCAAACCTTATAAACTGCTTTTGTGCTCAGGCAGTTTTTTTTTTAAACTACTGCAAAAACTGACAGCAGTCACAACAAAGTAGTTTTTTAATAGTGTTCACTCTCATTAAATGGTAGCATCAGGAAAATTGTTTTCATTTTTTTAATGAATCGAAGGTGTTGGTTGACCCAGTCAGACAGTAGTTTCCCTACATTAGATGATGTATACCACGATTCTAGGACTTAGTTTAATTGATTGTACATTTTGACGGTTTCCTTTGTCTGCTGGAGGGATTCCACCTGAAGGGTGAGGTCACCTATTGCATTTATGTCTACATGGTATTGTAACAACCCTGGTGGTGATAATAGGTGCAATGTAACTCAGGATTAAATTTCTCTGAGAATGCTTTCCTTTCTAAAAATAAAGTGTTCTGCTGGATCAAAAAGGCTGTGTGGGGTCTTATTTGATAATATTTTTGCCAGAACTTAATGATATTATGGTAAGTTTAGTTCAATCTGAATTTAGTTTCATAAATTGTATAAGGATGGCTTGGGGGTCAAAAGTGTTTCAATGTAAGGCTGATTGGTTTTGGCACTCAATCGCCAGATGGCTTAAACAAGCATATTTCTTTTAGCTCCCCCCTCATATTGTTTAAGCATCCTTTAACATGCATCTCTTTTTTTGGATATTGTAGTGTTTATTATGTTGCTGTTTGTCTTTTTTCTCTCGTCTTTAACACCTACTGTGTGTTGACAAAGACCTTCGGTCAAAATGTCCCTTTTATCTGCAATTGTTGATCATTTGCAGTTTCTTTAAAGTAGCGATACTTTAAAAATTATAAAAATTAAAATTCCTTTTTTAAAAAAATAGGCAGACTTGTTTAAATCCTTAAAAAACCATTAATGACAATAATAACAGCCCTTTTTTGTAAATCCCCAAGATTTGTTTAAAACAAAATTTTATTTAAAAAAAATTAAAAATATACTTGCAGGGTTATATAATGGAAACCTAAACCTGAATTTTACAAATCATTATTTTAAAAAAATTAAACTGTGCATATTGGATACTAACACATTCATTGTTCCACAAACAATGACAATTTGGTTTGTATAATAATTAACATTATGAAGATTTTCTTTTGTACAGTTCCCAAATATCTTGAACATCCTCTTTTGAACCCATGAAAACAGCACATCGCTGGTGAATATCAGTAGGTACAATCTCAAGAATTCGTTGCTTGCCATCTATAGCCAAGCCACCTGCTTGCTCTATTATATAAGCCATCGGATTTCCTTCATACATAATTCGAAGCTGTAAAAAAAAGTTGAGCTGCATGTTAAAATTTTGTTTTAAGACATATGCTAAGTTACACTAAAATAGAAAAATTATGCTATGTATGTTTTGTAACTATACTTTTTGGTTATTGTGTTATTTAATAATTCAATGACAGACTGTAATAATAAAAACTTTACAAAAAATAGTTTCATTAAAAACTGAATTAGGGTATTTTAATGTATAATCATTGATTCCCCTGACTAGTATTTGAAAACTATGTTGCATTTTTACATTACTGACCATAGCTTAAGTCTAAAAAAATATGGAGCATTTCCTTCGTTTTAAATTGTATGAGCTTTTTTCAATTTGATGACCAATGCGTCGCGATATGTTCTTGAGATACGGGTCGACACTTAAATAGGTATATAAAGTGGTCGACACAAAGTGATTTTTATGTGATTTTATCTTCTTTATATCTTGTTGAAACACAACATAATTAACCTCTGGCTGACGGTAAGAGGGTCAATGCCTAAACTTCCAAGCCAATATCAAATCTTACAGTTCTAACTTCAATAAATGTCATTTCCCTATCAAATAATTTAATATGCTAGAGAAATGTGTGTACTGTTTGTTTATTTTTTATACCCAAAACAGTTTGAAGGGTAACACCGCATTTACACTTGCCACATATATACTATACACGTCTTAAAAAGAACTGAAAAAGTCAATTTTTGTTAGAAAAAAGTAACAGAAAAAGTCACAAAGGAAAAATTTTATTAGAAAAAAGTCAAAGAAATAAATCACAGGAAAAAGTCACGAAAATCTTTTAAGAAATATTTTGATTTAATTTTTGAGAATTGTAAAATTTTGGGTGTTCATTAATGTGGGTGGTGTTTTTTGTTTGATAGCATATTTATAAAATACGAGTCGACCCGTGGCGTATCATATGCCGCTATTTAGTTGTTTTATTTTCTACTTTCCAGTTATTCATAATTTGTGAATTCGACAGAACCAATGCTACCACTGAAAATATTTACTTTAAAACACTATCAGTACCCCCACAATACTACCCCCACCCTCCTTACCCCACCCCCCCCCCCCCCGTGAAAGCAGCCTCCTCTTAGATACCTCCCCTAAGTTTAAAATCGTTTCAAACTAAATTATCTGCCCCTAATAGCCGTCACTAAACCCGGCTCTACGATTGTAAACATTTAGCGTGAACCACAGCTCACCAGACCATGTGGGGGTAGGGTTATGCCTAGAGAGGAAGAGAAAGGCTGCTAGGTGAGCTTACAGCTTGGTGTTTTCTATGGTCTCCATGAAGAGCATTATATATATATATAGATAAAAGCAATAAGATTTATAACAATAATTAAAAATACTCTAAGAAAATTTTACACACCAACCGCAACTTTTGTTACTTATTTAGTTAAATACACTGAGGGAAAATCAATAATAAAAAAGTTTAGAGACATCGTTGTGATTTACATGTTTTTTCGCCGTAGTCTTTTCCTTGGTCGGCCTTGTCCATCCATATTGTTACGTGTTTTGTTAAATACGTGATGGGAAAATTAATAATAAATAAGTTTAGACACGTGATTTGTAAATGTTTTTTTTTTGCTGTGTGTTCCCGTTTTCCGTCAATGACATCCTTTGTACTGTGTCGGTTAACAGTTTTGATCCTATTATTTGTTATGTAATGAGCGTGATAAATGTGGAAAGTACAGTGGTTGAACTAGTGTTGCGATGAGTTGAGGACAGTAAGTCACATTAACTACATCTTTATGACATTTTACTGTACTTTAATATAAGTATTTAAAAAGCATGATGAAAACCAAGAAGGTTGGAACATACTATCAAATATTATATGTATAAGTATAAAGGAATTAAAACATACTAAATATTTTAAGTTTGTTATAAATATTACTATACGTAGGCCTATACACCCTACGCACATATATAAAAATGTTTACATTAAATTTTGTAAATCATACGTTTATTTGAATTTTCTGAATATTTAATACATAAATGCCATGGAAATACACATTTGTGACTTTATTTCCTGTGAGTTTTTTTTTTTCTAAAATGGAAAAAAAAAAAACTTCGCTATAAAAGTTAATTTTACCAGAACAGGTATGGGGATGGGGTGCATGCTACTCACGTGAATTTTTTTTCTAGAGATGTATATGCTCTTATAAAATATTTTACCTTTCCATGTGGTGCTTCAGAAGTTGCTGGGTACATAAAAATACCACCATAGCAAATTGTTCTGTGAACGTCAGCAACCATTGAACCAATATATCTAGCACCATAAGGTTTTCCATCCTAAAATGTGAAATGTATATTTACTTTGACAGAGTAGAGGATTTTGGGTAGGAGGAGGTGGGGGGAGGGAGGAAGAAAAGGGTCAAAACAGAATTCCAAAATACAGAAACGGTTAAAGGTCATCCTTTCATAAGTAAGCCCCTTCTTTGCTGGCGACATACACATTTTTTTTTCTTTTTTTTTTCTTTGTTGGTTAGCAGACTGGAACATTAAAGAGAACAGGGCAGGGAAAAGATCAGATTCCCAAACGTCTGCTTTAAGTGGAAATTTTCATAAATTTTCAAAGAAACAAATATTGACATTTAATATCACGTTGTAGCTTAACAATTGATAAATTCTAAAAAAACTATAAATAAATAACACCAGACATTTACATAACATTCAAAATGTACGTTAAGCTCTCTTATTCATTATATCCTGTTCGTGCCCAAACACATGGGGCAGATGAAGTAGAGTTCATCAACTTCAGAGACTTCTGCATATGAAGGGATAGCGTTGTCAGCACTATGCCTAGCCACCATTTTTTCCCTAACCTGAGTTAGGTACCCATCAGAGCCTGGATTCGAAATATATGCATACATAGGAAATAGGCCAAGAAAAAAAAATTCGGAAATTTTTTCAGACAAGGACCCAATGTTTTATCTATTTTTTTTATCGGAGTTAACTTAAAGTAAAGCAGTCTCACGCTGTTATTGTATTTATTGTTAAATAGAGCTTCTATTTTAAATAACAGAAGTTCATGTTACTCTAAAACACCGGAATCACATTGGCTTGAGTTCACATTAGTTTTTAAATCATTTGGCATACATTTTCCCAAACAAGCAGTACCGAACACGTATTCGGGGTAATGGTGAGGTCACAAGCACCACCGTTGATATAAGTATAAGAAGGTGCGGGTTAGTCTAGTCCAGATAGTCGACCTTTTGCTAGGAATTCAATATTAATTTTAGGTTGCGAAATAAAATAGAAGCAGAGAGAAACTGTAGATTAGGACAAGCTATATTACTGATAGATGAATTAGGCTATACCAATAGCTAAACTACCGCGGATGCAAGATTAACAACTGTAAAAAAACAGGCTTGGGAGATGTAAGTTTCATTTGAAGAGCCGCATTATTTTAGCATACTTTTTTCTGTGTTTTTGATAAATATGTAATTGAAAATATATTAGATCTTAATCTTGCACTGTTAGACCTAGCGCAATTGTCCATTTGACCTAAGTACTGAATTACTCGATTTAAATAGAAATTTGTGGAATGGGCATGTAGGCTGTTTTGTTGAAGTTATCATTTTTTCCTCTCATTTTAAAAACTTTGTAAAACTTTTTTTTTTAAATTGACGGTAAAATTCTGAGAAAATAAAATCAGCAGAGAAAAATTTAAACTGAAATAGAAAAATGGGATTTCTGCTAAAAATCGGAAAAGTCACATTCCTGATACATACATATATACATGCATATACACGCACAAATATATACTCACAAATACATACACTATGGCGCCTCTGTTATTTAAAAAAAGCTATATTATCATATAAGTTAGTGCGTTAGTTTTAAGGTGCCAAGGGCAGTACTCGGCGTCCCTGCTCCCGCCACGCCTCTTTATGTCCCTAATACCTAGGCGGTCACCAAAGTCTGTTCTACCTCACTAGTACAGCTAGTGATTAAGTTACACTCATGGCTTTCATGCTGTAGGGTAGGTAAATCCATGCCCCGATAAATATGATCCAAGCGCAGGTATTGTTTACATTTCAATAACTCAGTATTAGAAAACAAGGTCACATATAGAATACAGAATTGGTAACAAATGATGAAACTCTCTTAAAATATTGCGTCATACTTTCTTCGGGCACACTATATATTAAGCAATGTAAGTGTCTGTTATGCATTTCTACATCTTTCATCCAATCGCCATGAACTATGGGAAGTTGTTGAGAATACTCCGGGGGAGGTACCTGCGAAAAAAAATATTTCAAACTTGCAGGGATGGCTGGCGCCCCAGTAGGGCGAGATTTGATTCTTGTCTATATACTGTATATAAAAATTAAAGTCGATGGCAGTTTGAGACCGTTCATACGATTGCCATGAAACTTGGTGGAGTTGAATTCGGCAAAACATATTTTTTTCATTTTGCAAGGGTGGCGCCCTGGGAGCGAGTGATTTTTTTCTATATATGGTTTAAAAAAGGTAAAAGTTGGTTTCGTTACGACAACGTTCGTCTGAGTACCATGAAACTGTTGAGGTTTCTGCTGGAAAAAATTCTATTTCGCTCGGGCGGCCCCCGGCAGGGTTTCATTTGGCGCCCCTAACGATCCAGTGAGAACTATGGCACCTATGATCGTTTCAAACAATGCGATAGATTGGATGAAAGGTGTAGTAATGCATATTAGACGGACAGACAAAGAAACAAACATACATTGCTTTTTATATATATATAGATATATATACACATATATATATATACACACATACATATATATACACACACACATATATATATATATATATATATGTATACACCTATATAAATACACATACATATACACATACCAGGGTCCATAGCCAAATCCCAAAAGAAAATTCAAGGCTTTTTCAAGGTTTTCAAGGTGATTTTGGGGGGAATTTCAAGGTATAAACTACCACTAACGGGCATTACAATGAGGGTGATGTATGTTTTTTGAACACACAATTTTTTAAATAATGTTGGTGTTATTACAAAATTATCTAAGTCAGGAGATTGTCTGAGAGTCCAGCATAATCCCTTTTGCAATCAGTATCTTTGGTGTCAAATGACACTCCTCCAACTTCTATTTTCAGAAAAACCTCTTTCAACACTGGCTTGACCATGTGACAGAAGCAATAGATCTCTAACAATTTTCCAAATGTTCACATAAGAAATTTTGCTACCAAGCTGTTCTATGAAAAAAATGTCCAGCCTATCATGTTCTCAATTAGATTTAGATAGACAACCATTTAGAGTACATGTATCTATGAATGTTGAAAATTGAAACAGAACTTGGTCACACTCAGCTGATTTCAGTTTCCATTTGTTGACTAGGATGTGAAGAATTCCCTTCATTTTTTTGGTGAACTGGCTCTATTTTTAAACATTTACATTAGGCTAAGTCTCTCACTAATGACTAAAGTAATGGAGATTTCAACAAAAAATTTGATGAAATTCCTATCAAAGTTGTCTTACAATCAGATTTGAAATTGAGAATTTGAAGCTCACTTGCTTTTTTTACTTTTTCTAGAGACTTTATTAGAGAGTCAGCAACAAACCCAACTTCAATTGAATGACTTGTCAATGTCAAGTGATAATCAGAATCAGGTCATTATACATAAAAGGAAGCATTGGTTCGTCTGTCTGATAGTCCTTTAAAAAGGACTCTGCACACATATTCCTTTAAAAAGGACTCTGCACACATATAGAAACAAAAAAAAAACCTAGCTATGCTTGTAGAAATTATCCTGCTTAATGTCATAAATGACCTCACGCTTTTTAAAAGATTATTACCTCTCCCCCCCCCCCCCTCTGTCACACATCACAAAAAGCCAGGCCCCGCCATCTAAAATGACGTCACACCTCAGCCTATAACCCCTCCTACACCCCCCCCCCCTTGATTGCAGTTTAATTTTTCTTAAAATAGGATTTTTTTCCCCAAAATCTTGTCTGAACTCTGTCAAAATAGAGTATTTTAATCAATTCCTTTTACAATTTATTAAAACAGTTTTCTAAAATGCTAAAATTCGTTTTCTAACATTGCTTTTTAATAATGCAAAAGTGTGATGTCACACGATCTGACCCCCCCCCCCCCTCATCACACACCGTCACACGATTACGGATCCCCCCTCCCCCTTCGAGTGTGACGTCATTTATGGACGACCCCAATGTCCCCACCTATGATATAGATTTCTACATGATGACGTAAAGAAATATCGTGGAACTTTTAAGTTAGTTCATATCGCGGAATAACAGAATAAAGTTGTTTTTTAAAAACAATTTCACTAGATCTAGTAACTACGCTAGTAATACTCATGTCAGAGATGTAGCCGCCCGACAAAGTGAAAAGCGGATTTTTTTTTTACAAGCGGATGGGAGGGGGCAGTGACAGCGGCAATTTTCTCAAACACGGTAATTCGAGGCTTCTTAAACATTTCAAGGACGTTACCACAGTAAAAAACAATCAGATATAGACCCTGCTAGATGGTGTAACTAAATTATAGCAGACTTACATATTTTGTTCAATGACCTAAAACGATGCAGATCTAGTTTTTGTTTTCGCTTAAATCAAGCAGTAAGCCCAATATTAAAGATAACCACGTTAAAATTAGATAAACAGCGTTTGTAGAACTGCCTTGACCGTGAGACACTACTGTGCTCGCGCGTGGTCTCGTGTCGTAGGTCTTACGGTCAGCGCGACCTTGAAGTGAGAGGCGGTAAAAAGTGTCCGTAAAGTTGAGTGAAAACAGCACAGTCATAGTCCTTCAAATTATTTTTCTTTTCTTTTGATAAATACAAATTTTTTTTTTACGTCGGCGCAAAATCTTTCCTTTTTTTAAGAAGACAATCGGCGATGCTAATGAGCTGGTAATGTTAGGATTTAGTTTTTTTTTTAATTACACAGCCTAGCGGTAGTCCATTGATGACGTCACGTAATTAATGCGAATTTTACCCCAACCTCTATCGTCATAAATAACCAGACAGCCACGTCAAGAATGACATCAAAAAGTTCTGTCTACAGCCTCACCCATCTGATACAGTCAATGTGTATTTGGTCCATAGCCCACGTGAGATTGACGATTACGTCATTTGCTATTTGTTTTTTTAACGAACGTGATAAATATGCCTATTGGCATTAGGAAATCTTGTTGGTTAATAGTTAAAAATCTAGATCAAGATCCACGACTATATTAATTATTAATATACTGCGAGGTCACTGTAAGTTGAGATAGACCTAGAAGACCTTCTAAGGTCGCAGTGACCGAAACATCTGCTATCGTGGGGTACACAAAGAACCGTGATTGATCTAGGTTCGTAAAAACGTGTCTTCTCGCACATCTAAAATAACAGAACACAATAATTCGATAAATTATGTCTCGCTATTTACCCGTAATTCCGCAGCTACGTTTCGCCCTTTTGTGTTTAACCCACACCGAGAAAATTTTAATTTAAATAAATAGAAACCAACGCTCGCATAGTTCAGGCTATTCTTTTTTTATTTAAACCTAAGGCTTATTTTCTTGAAGAAAAAAATATTAGTTCTAGATGTAGGTTTAATTATAATCGAGATAATTTCCATGCGCGACCAGAATTTTAATGATTTAGGCCACATTCCAATTTTTTTCTTTACGGACATCACCGATCAGGAGACAACAGACCACTCGCGGGGTCAATAAAGTTCACAATATAAATAGAGCCAACGACTGCCGAGATATTGTCGGGAAGGGAGTTGGGGGGCGGGGGGCGTCGATTGTTATGATTGAAGATGTTTGAAACCATAGAACCGGATAACACGGAAATTTAACACAAGAAAAAAAAAGGTCGACACTAAATCGATTTTGATGTTTACTGTGGGCTTTTGCCAGAGGCGTAGCGACCCTTCCCGGCGCCCGGGGACATACTTTCAATTTGGCGCCCCCCTCGGGAGCAAATTTTCGATTTGCACCCCCCCCCCCCCCTCGAAGTTTTCATTTGCACCCCCCCCCCCCTCAAACTTTCGATTTGCACCCCCCCCTCGAACTTTTCATTTGCACCCCCCCCCCCCTCAAACTTTCGATTTGCACCCCCCCTCGAACTTTTCATTTGCACCCCCCCCTCAAACTTTCAATTTGGCGCCCCCCTAAGGTCGGCGCCCGGGGACATATGTCGTCCCCCCCCCGCCCCCCCCCCTCGCTACGCCTCTGGCTTTTGCGTAACATTTGCGGCCTAATTCCGCAACAGGGGTGTCAAAATCGAAAAATTACGGACAAAACCGTACAAGTAGGTAGGCCCTAACAGAAAACACTGAATCTAGATCTAGAATCTAGTAAACGGAGATACCCGAAAAACGATGCTAAATTTAGCCCTCGGCTATCTACGTCACGATCTAGAATCTAGGTTGGGAAGAGCCTATGCAAAACTGGTCAGGTTGAGGTCATACCGCGAGGCTCAGCAAAGGAGAGGGTTGGAAATAGTAGACTCCGAAGTTAACGCAGACCCACGGCAAAAAAAAATAAAGGCAGAAAAAGTTTAGATCCATCAGAATTGAATTTTTTTTTAAATTCGATTTACGCACGGTTTTCAAGGTTTACTTATAAAATTCAAGGGGTTTTGCTCATTTTTGGGGAAATTCAAGGGTTTTTCAAGGCCTTGAGATGTTTTTTGGAATTCAAGGGTTTTTCAAGGATTCAAGGTCCGCTACGGACCCTGGATCATACATATATATATTGCGCTACATTTTCGCCACAGCTTTTCTATTCGCTGGTCTTTGCTTTTTTTTGCCATGCTTTCCTCACTTTCCCACACAGGCTGTTAAAAAAAACCTGTCCATGGTTTTGTTTTTATTCCTCTTCAGAATGTCTCGGGAAATAAGTTAGGTAAGTGTCATTTATGTGTCTACAAAAGTGGTCTGTATGCTGAGTTTTTTTCAGGAATCCCTTCAAGGGGGAGGGGAAGAATTTTCTTTCTTAGTTGACATTTTTTTTCCTATCTTGGAATACTTGCATTTTTTCACTAGCATTTGTTTACTTACTTTTTCATTTCACACACACACTCACATATATATACATATATATATATATACATATATATACATATATATATATATATATATATATATATATATATATATATATATATATATATATATATATATATATATATATATATATATATACATATATATATATATATATATACATATATATATATATATATATACATATATATATATATATATATATATATATATATATATATATATATATATATATATATATATACAGGGGCCCCTAAAAATTTTCAGCTGTTGCCCAGCTGAAGCCAAGCTGAGAAGTGCACACATGTTCCTTTATATATTAGAATGTGATTTATTTTGCTTTTTACAGTTAATACTAAAATTAAACGTTAAATATAAGTATAGACAAAATAACTAAACACCAAAATTATATAAAACATTTATAATAGAATATCAAATTTAGTTGGCTACTATGTAAAATATTTAAATACAGCTAAAATTGTAGGTATTAGATTACCTTCGGTCTCTTCTTGTTATTCACATATTCTCTTGTAGGCTCATCCCAGTACATTTCATAACCTTCATTAAGGGAATAAATTTTGCCCCTTGGCTTGATTCTCATGTTTTTTTCAGTTAACAAAAATTCACCAATTGACTGCAAAAATTAAGCATATTGTAAATGGGTGTAGGCCTATCTGTTCATTTTGTGTCATTATGTTTTTAATACAAACATTTTACATACCTGCTGTTTATTTTATTTTTTTCTATTTAAATCTATGAGTAAATAAAAACTATTTTTATAAGCACTTACAGGATCATACATAAATCCATTCACTCCTTGACCAAGAGAAAGAACTACCATTGTAGCACTGCCATACAATGCATATCCAGCACAAACAAGATTTTCTCCAGGCTGAAGAACATCTTGTTTTGAAACAGGTCCTTCAGTTGTCTTTATAAAGGATCAAATAAAAAATACATAAGTTTTGCTATTACACAGCGTTTACACTTGTGACTTGTCTGCTATACATGTCTAGGTCACAAAGCCTGTCAAAAGTTGTTTTTTTTTCTGGAAAAAATTTTCTTTACAGAACATGTATACTGTAGCGTTCACAGTTACAGAACATGTTTTACAACATTTTATAAAGCAAGCGGTAACTTTGACCTGAAGCATCTGCTATATGGGCCTAGAAAGAGTAATCAAAGTAAAAAATAACGTAGCTTGCAACTTTATTATTTAAAGGGAAATGATGTAACCATGATGCTTATAATTCAACAAAGGCTATGGAAGCAAATCAAAGCAGAAAAGTGGGCTGAAATCGTAGTCAGTGGCCTATAACAAGTTGACGCGTAATACATAATTCCAACACTAAAAATTAAGAACAAAGAAGAAGAAATACAGTTTTATGGTGTTCTCTGTCACTTTGTTTGCTGATACGCAATAGGATTTTAAAAAAACTCTATACTGGTTGACACTATTGTTATAAGCACTTTTAGATGATTAGAGATAACAGAAAAAGGAAATGGTTTAAAAATAAATTAGTCATAAACATACACAATAATAAAGAAACATCAGAGGCAGTAAAGAATAAAAATAATAATTGTTATATTCAAGTACCTTTTTATAAATTCCGAAAATTGAGCCGATCGAAACTAAACAGTCAATATTAGACGAGCCATCTAATGGATCAAAGCACACAATATACTTGCCCTAAAAATGTATAGCGAAATGTTTTAAGAAAAATAATAAATATATCCTTATAATTATAAACAAACCCACAAATTTCAGTTACAAAAAACTACCCTCAATTTTGTTATTTTTAAATCCTTTATTTGTTTTTTAAAACATATACCTTCCTGTGTAACTACTTGTAGTAAACTTTTGCTGATTTAAAAAATAAAACAAAGCAGTTATACCACATGCAAATACTAGTAGCACACACATTTGTGTGTGTGTGTTCATGAACCTATCTCAAATGGTTCTTTAGTTATCGTATTGACAGAGACAGACAAGATTGCAAAAGTAAGCTTTTCTGCAGGGTTCGTACACTGTTTTGAAAATGAAATTCCAGACTTTTCCCAAACATTTTTGGAAAAATTCCTGCAGATGTGTTTGCGACTAATTAATAAAATGATGCAACATGTGTACCCTAATTATAAGTACAGTATATTTTAGGCAATTGAGCTAATGTTTATACTGAGTTTTTTGCCTACCCCACACACTCCAAACTTTATTTTTATTAAAATAATTTATACATGTGATGAAATTCAAACACTAAGTTTATGTTATTTGTTCATGATCTAACTATTGTTTTCAATTAAATTACTACTAAAATAGCAGTGCTATCAAGTTGGCGTAATACTAATAGTGAGAGTTAATTACTTTAAAGAATTATAATAAAGTAATTTACTAATTTCGGTCTGCTGTTGAAGAGTAGCCGTGAGTTATTTACCCTAGGTCTTAGAAAAGAAATTTGGAGGAAAAATTGTAAATGCACCATTATTTATGCTTATTGTAGCTGAGAAAATTTTGTCTGCTATAAAAAATTATATTCCCCTCACCACCAGACACACAACAAGACACTGTGGAAGGGTCATTAGGAGGTCACAGTAGTCAAGACTTCAGTAAGCCTGTCTAATAGGTCATCACATAAACTTTATAAGTTTTATACCCCTCCCCCAGCCAAACAGTACCAACTGTGCACTTTAGGTCATGGTGAGTTCATACAAGTTTAGATATCAGCAGACATGCCTACACCTGTCAGACAAAAGTAGGAACAATCATGCCTAAAAAGAAAAATATATGCGCTGACGCTATTTTTTTAAAAAGTTAACCAGTAACCTGAGACCCCACCCCCAATAAAAACAATAGCCTTGACAAAACATTATTGATTTGATGATTCCTGTCTTGCTATGTTCTAGGCTATATGAACAACAAATGCCGAAGGCTTCTGAATGTAATCTATCTTTCTATCTATTTATCTATCTACCTACCTACATATATATATATATATATATATATATATATATATATATATATATATATATATATATATATATATATATATATATATATATATATAAAGCAATGTATGTGTGTCTGTTTGTCTTTTATGCATTACTACACCTCTCATCACATCGCCGTCAAACTTTGGGAAATTGTTAAGATTATTCCTGGGGAGGTTTTTGCGGAACTTTTTTTTTTAAATTCGCAGGGGTGGCGCCCCAGGAGGGCGCGATTTATTTTTTCTCTATATATGGTATATAAAAATAAAAAATGATTTTGGTTTGACAGCGTTCATCCGATCGCCATCAAACTTTGGTGAGTTCATTAGAACACTCTGGGGAAGGGTTCTGTAAAAAAAAAAAAATTACACCTCTTTACCCACTATCCAAGTAATTTTCCTTGTTTGTCTAAGGTTGCATTTAGGTAGTCATATCAACATATTATGAGGGAGGCGTGTCAAGGGCCGTCTCTGTATAATTTTTATATCTGTATTTTTAATTCAATAGACTAACCCACCCCTCCTTTTCAATACGGTCACTGATACAGACACGCCTACAAACTTCCTCTATACTGTTTATAGGAAAAAGTAAAAAAACTAGTAAAAGTTTTATACACAGGAAAATCCAATTACATTGGGGCTATGCTGTTGCTTAGCAACAATAATTTAGCATAAAAATCCAATCCCTTTAATGTGCCCTTTCTTCATTTACAAATTTCATGCTTTAATATATTGATTTTTAGAAAGTAGTGTTAGACCACTAGTGTTTTTTTCCACATTATAGTGGCGTAACCAGGATCATCTCATGGGGGGCGGGATGTTTCAATTTTTCTATCATATATATAACTATAATATAAGAGGGCTGTTAGTGTGTCAGTCCTTCCTTCCTTCCGTCATCGCTATAACTTTTGGAAACATAAAAGTAAACATCGCACCATGCAGTGCTTTTCAGTGCATCGCAGTGTCTTATTATAAGTAATAGAGTAGAGTTTGTTTATATCAGGGGTCTCCAAACTACGGCCCGAGGGCGCATTCCGGCTCGCGGAGATCTATGTGTACATGGAAAAAAATGTTTGTTAGATATATATGGCCGGAGCCACAGCATGGTGCGATTTGGTGCCCTGGGCTAGACTGAGCACTTCGCAATTATGTTTGCGTTTTCTTTGTGTTTGGGTTGGGTTTGTGGTTGGGTTTGTGTTTGGATTTGGATTGTTTTCATTTACTTTTTATTTTGCGTTTTTGTTTGTGTTTTCTTTGTGTTTGTGGTTGGGTTTGTGTTTTTGTTTGCATTTGTGTTTGTGTTTGTGTTATGTTGGCGTTTTTTTGTGTTTTGGTTTTGGTTGGTTGTAGCTAAAGTGGGCTATGCCAGGTATATGTCATGGTCCTTTATAGATAGGTTTTTCACAGAGGCCATATATATATATATATATATATATATATATATATATATATATTAGCTGTACGTCATTGCTTCACTATGATGTAAAATACATTGAAAGTAGTACTCTGTAGAAATAAGAACACACAATGTAAGCCGACAAAACAAAACAATGTATCACTCAAAACAAAAAAAACAAACAAAATACACACACAACCAAAAACACAACCAACACAATCCATTTTTGTAATCATTGTAAAAAAAAAACCAACAAAAAATAATCAACTCAGAGTGAACATAGATGACTGTTCTAAACATAAACATAATATTAAACATATAGATCTATACTGATTCAGAAATATATTTAAGTAAATAACAGTGGTATTATGACAATGAATTTTTTTTTTTTAAAAGGGGTCTATGGGTTGGCGGGGTTGTAACCCCCTAACCCCCCACCCTGCCTACGCCACTGTATAACAAAGTTACATACACTACTCAGGGGGAAAAAATAAGCCTAGTCATTATAGGCATAATAAACTAGAGATGAGTTTTAAATAAGGTTAAAATACAATAAAATTACTTTAAATTTGTCCTCAACTTCAATGAGCTGCTCATTTTCTTCAGATACTAATATAGAACAAGTATATGATGAAGTTAGCATGTTGATAAATAAATCATTTGACAGAACATCAAGCTTCTTGACAGAATCCCCAGTGGCATTGGATGATCCTGAGATACCATATCTAAAATATAAATACAAAAAAAAAATTAAAACCACCAATAATTCAGGTACATACAGAATAGTGACCATTTTATTTTTTTTAATATATGTCCCAAAATGTCCAGATAAGTGCAAATGTAGGCCTACAGACATGCTTACCCATATCAGCCAAAAGTAGGAGCAGTCATGCCTAAAAAAAGGAATTTGAATCCAAAAAGAGGAACATATGTGCAGATGCTACTTTACTTAGTCAAAAATAAAAATAATGAATAAAAATTTAGTCTAATGACATTAGCAGACTTCTAGTCTATATATATAAAAAGCAATGTGTGTGTGTCTGTGTCTGTCCGTCTGTTTGTCTTTTATGCATGACAACACCTTTCATTCGATTGACATGAAAGTTTGGGAAGTTGTGGAGGATACTCCTGGAGAGGTTTCTGCGGGGGAAAAAAGAAAGTTCAAATTTGCAGGGGCGGCACCCCAGTTGGGCGCGATTTGTTTTTTCTATATATACGGTATATAAAAAATAAAAGTCGACTGCGGTTTGACACCATTTATCTGATCGCCATCAAACTTTGGGGAGTTGATTAGAACACTCCAGTTGAGGTTTCTGTAAAACAATGTCTTTTAATTTCGCAATACGGTATATTAAAAAAAAATTAAAGTTGGACGCGGTTCGACACTTTTCATCCGTTCGACACTTTTCATCCGAGTGCTATAAAACTTTAAGGATTTGATGAGAATACTCACGGGAAGTTTTCTGTTAACAAAATAATTAAAATTTGATATGAGCGGCGTCCGTTAATCGTGCATCCTGCATAGCAGGTAAGGGGTACTACTATATTGAGCGTTAAAACTTCAACAGGCTTAACAGCCAGCGCACCATAGATTGCACGAACCGAAGCCCCCCCCCCCCCCCCCCACCTGGTTCCTCTGCGAGCACTATGGCGCCTCTGCGGTAGTGTAATCGGGGTTGCCCAAGAGCGCCCCTCTACGTCCTTGACACATGGGCAGTCACCGAAGTGTGTTCTTCCTCATCATTTTGATGAGTGATTAACGTACACTCAAGGTTTTCATGCAGTAGTGTAGATAAACCCGTGTCCCGATATTTATGATCCAAGCGCAGGCATTGTTTACATTTTAATAACTCAGTTTTAGAAAACAAGCTCACGTGTCTAAGAAAATAGGTTTAGCAACACATTGAAGAAACCCTTGTTATATATTTCATTAGACTTTCTTCTATCCCTGCAGCAACGCACGGGGGCGAGTATGCTAGTTATATATAACTAGTCTCTAGGCTACATTCAAATACTGCTTAATGTCAGCTTACATTTTTAAAAGTTAACCTATTACCTAAGACCCCCCATAAAAACCATAGCTTTGACATAACATTACTGGTTTGATTATTTAATTTATGCCTTGCTATGTTCTAGGCTATATGAATAACAAATCCAGAAGGCTTAGTATGTAATAAATATAAGTTAAGAGCTAAGACCTAGATCTACCTAGTAAAAGTCCTAGTTACTTTTTACTAAGTTCTTCATAATACAACTTACAAGATAGATCAGTATTCATCCAGTATCCATTTTAGATCACTATCTACAGTATCTAGATCTAGATCTAGAAATTAGCGCGTTAGTCATGATTTTATTTTATTTTTCTCTATATATTTTATTTAGGGCATAATTTAAATCTACAATGCAATTGCAAATACTAAAAAGAACGTTCAGTAGCTAGATTGTCCACAAAATCATCTATTAGTAGATCGGTAATCTATCGTTTTAGGTACGTAAAATCGCCCGCGGCTAGTAATGTACGAAAAAGTTACCTCATTTTCAAGGCTTTAATAGAAGTATATTGTGATATATTTGTGTCAAATATTATAGATAAATTAATACTAAACCTAAATCAATGGCTAAATATATCAATATAGGCAAGAAATTAACTTTAAACAGCAGTGTTTGCGAGCAGGATTTGCTAAATAAAAAGTGGCCATCTGTAAGTTAGAGTGGCTTCCCCTGAATCTTACGCTATAAGTTTACAGTAAAAAGAAAAAAAAACAAGATGGCTGCTATAGTAAATGAGCGTTGTTGCGTCTGTTTGAAACATCGCTAGTCTAAATTTATTACTGAAAAGTTTTAATTCAGTTGTTTGAAAATAGGTACATAAATCATTAAATGAAACAAGGAAACATTTTTGTATTTTTCAAAATATAAATCCTCCTCAAAATGTGAAATAATTATTAAAATTTAAGGAGTCACCTGTTTTTCACATTACTAGTCGCGGCCGATTTTACGTACTTAAAACGATTTTCTCTGGAGGATCTCTACTTCAACTGGCATTTGATTTGTCCGTTGCTGTAGAACAGGGGTCTCCAAACTACGGCCCGCGGGCCGAATGCGGCCCGCGATGTCCTCTCATCCGGCCCGCGGAGATCTTTTTGTCCAAGGAAAAATTGTTTGTTGGTGAAGGCTGAGTAACTTTGCCCAGAAAAATCAAAGACATGCCTGAAAGAAACTGGCCCCGAACTGAAATTTGATAGTTAATGCATTGACTTTGAGAACTTTACCTTTCCCTCTGTAGATGTTCAGGCCCAGGCATGTAGAAAAATTAGAAACACTGATGGTTTAATCAGCAAAGTCCAGCTCATCCAGCTGGCTCCACTGTGTCCACCGTATACTGTTTAGCTTTTTCTCTGTTGACATCTTCATAATCCAGTCTATGGCCAGCAGGAACAGGAATGGTGAAAGTAGGCAACCCTGCCTTACTCTGGTCTGTACTGAGAAGGCCTCCGAAGTCTGTTGGCCATGCACTACTCTAAGTTTGAGACCTTCATATGAAGACATAATAATGTTGACTATTTTCTATGGCATCCCTTAGTGTCTCAACAATTTCCACTTTGACTGTCTATCTAGGCTATCAAAGGCCCTCTCGTAATCTATGAAATTAATATAGAGAGATGAGTTCCACTCTTGGGTCTGTTCAATGATGATGCACAGAGTAGCAATTTGGTTTACGCATGACCTTTCCTTCCTAAAGCCCGCTTGTTGATCTCGAAGCTGGGGTCTATTGCTTACTTCATTCTGTTTAATCATATTCTGTTGAAGACTTTGCCTGGGATGGACAAAAGTGTTATCCCTCTATAGTTTGAGCATGCACTGAGATCACCTTTCTTAGGAAGTTTCATGAGTAGTCCCTCCTTCCACTCCTCTGGTATTTGTTCATCTTCCCAGATTTTCTTGAAGAGTGTGTGTAGTAGTGTGGTGCTAGTTTCTATATCTGCTGTCTGTGCTTCTGCCTGTATACCATCTATTCCTGGAGCCCTCCAATTTTTCAGCTGCTTTATAGCTTTATGTATCTCTTCTTTTGAAGGTGAGTTGCAGTCTATAGGGAGACTCCAGGTCCTCCAGGTTGGGGGTTGAGCATAAGGTCAGCAACCTTATATGAGCATAAGGTCAGCAACCTTATATGAGCATAAGGTCAGCAACCTTATATCATAAAAAACAACTTGCTACAGAAACACAGACAAAGAGGAAATATGAAGTGCTATTTTAAATTTATAAATTCCTCAACTAAACTGATACAGATCTAGATCTGTTAAATCTCAATATTTGTAACTTTGAAAATTGACCTAAAAGAAAACTAAAACTAAAGGTAGATGTTTTGAAATACAATATGTTTTCCATAATATAATGTTGAAAGTCAATGTCATAGTAGAAAAATAGTAGTATGGTAGTAGTAGTTTTCTAGTATATTTATATGGCCGCATTTGCGAGTATCACTCAACGGTCCGTTAAATCTTCTAAAAATAGATGTCAGGACTGCCCAACTATTTTTTCCTCTTCTTAGCAATTCAGTGTTGACATAATGTTTAAGAGTTTCATTCAATACCTAAGGTATGCGCAGGTTAAAAAAAAAGAATAAAATCTAGATCTAGTATGGCAGATGATAGTCCTAGAAGTTGTTTGGTATTTATAAATTTGTGAATAAAATGCAATCTTAAATTTTAATGAACTCATTCAAATTATTTTATTCATATGAGTTAGAGCCAAATACCCGTTCAACATAGAACAATACTGGCATGTTGTTAGCTGTAAAAAAAAATGTCAGAGAGAAATTGTTTGCATTTCATTTCAAGAAGTATTGCAACTGCTTGTTACATTATTTTAATATATTAAATGCAATTTTCAAACAACATATAATAGTCCTGACATGTTTCCTAGTAAAAATGTTGGAGATATAAGTTGCAATGAGTCATTTTTAACCATTCTACATATAGATACATCCTGGTAAGTTATATTGCCAGTGAAAAGTAGTATGGTTTATGTTCCATAACACAAATCATAGCTAGCCCTCTATTACACTGATTGTTTCTTTTTCATCGTTTGTACCCTCTATTTGGCACATAGCCTTGCTGATTGGATAATTGATTATTCATTAATTTGTTTAACTCCACCATTGCCTGGTCCCAAGTCCAGAAAGAGAAAGGAGGAGGGGACAAATCTATTCTAACTAAGTAAGTAATTAATTCTTTAGCTGTCTGTTGTCAAGTATGTACAAACACACAAAAAATACAAGATGTGCTATTTGGCTAATTGCACAATCTATGTAAAAACGCCATGTCCGTTAATTAGCCTTAATTATTTTTGGCTTTCCCTTTACTGATCTTTATTTCAATTGCATATTCCTGTTGCCTGTACTCTCTAGCACCAATATCCAAAATTTTATCAATAGAATATCTTTATTAACAACAGAGCTGTGCAGTTTGACGATAGACTAACGTTGCTCTCTATATAAAAATGCCATGACCCTTAATAAGTCTTAATTATTTTTGGCTTTCCCTTTATCTTTATTGATCTTTATTTTAATTGCATATTCCTGTTTCCTGTACTCTCTAGTATCAATATGCAAAGTTTTATCATTACATGTTAAATAACAACAACGCTATATGATGAACCCAAAGAAGGACACTAAATAGGCTATTATAATTAATTAGGCAAAATTTACCAAAATCATTGAAAATGCCTATCTATTTCTATACTATACTTTGAAATATAGCCTAATTAAATAATAATAAAATAATCTAGAAATCTAAATCTAGTCTCAGGCAATTTTTACAACATACCTAAAGCGATAGATTACCTTTTAAACTATAAAATAAACTAGAGTCATTTACTTTTACAAGTCTAACTTACAGGTTATGTATTCCGGCCTTTCTGACAGCAGAAGAAATAGCTTTAATTGCAGTAAGAATGGCATTTAATAGCTGAGTAAGGTCCCCTGTTGCTTTAGGATATTTTCGCTGCTCTTCAAGAACAAATCTTGTCAGTGTAATGCAGTCTGTATCAATGGGTTGACTCCCAGACATTGCGGCTGAATATTAGATCTAGATCTACTAAATAAATAATATTAGTATTAGATTCTTAGTGTTAGAATCAAGATTTGAATATTTTTATTTCTAGACGGTCAGACTAGTACTAAGGGAGGCCTAGATCTAGATCTAGATCTAGATCTAGTCTAAATTCTATTGTTCACCTTTCTACCGAAAAAAATCGTAAAGATAAGATTTTGTCCTTGAACTTCGGTCTTTAGCCCGTTCGCTGGGTACGCGGGCTATCTACGACACAGGGGCGGAACTACAGTGCCGCCAGACCCCGCAATGCGGGGGGGCCCAGACCAATTGGGGGCCCAAAAATCCTGGCTAAATTATTTAAAAAAAAAAAATTAGGTGGAGGCCGAGTTATCTTTCTTCTACAGTTACAAACAAACACGATAGTCGGCAAACATCTTTGAGAAAAATGCACTGACTATAGCTCGAGAGACCGCCAGACATATAGACAACTTCAAAGACGAAGCATCTGAAATTTGACTGTGCCGGTACGCTTTGAAATCGGGCTGGGGAAATGTTGCGGCGAGGCGACTATCCTGGTCTTCTAGACGATCGGAAAAAGTCGGCACTATTGATGTAGATGCTTATCGGCGCTTTCTTGTCCCCTTCCCTTCCCAACTCTCCCCCCCCCCCTATCCCCTACCCCTCACTTCTACCCCTCACCACACCCTTACTTCTTACAATAAGATGTAATGCATAGATTAACGAACCGTCTATGAACTGTAAACTGACCACTTCTGCACATTTTGTTAAAGACACAGTAGTTGTTCATTTACCTGATGAACAGGGGCGGAACTACAGTCCCGCCAGACCCCGCAATGCGCGGGGGGGGGGGGGGGGGGGAGGCCGTTTAGGGGCCCACGGCTGACCAAATTTTTTTTTTTTAAATTTTGAATTTAATTTTTGCCTTAATGTTTGGTTTGTAAAAGAAAAACACCGTAGCTGCGGTACGATTATCTTTATTTTACAGTCACTATACCACGCTCTTCCGCAAAAGATAAAATCCATTACACAAACTACAGTGTAAAATATAGGCAACTCTTTAAATTTTGAATGACTTCTTTGACTCGTTGCCCCCCCCCTCCCTTTGATAGCTAAATAGAGGACACGTAACTGTTTGACCGATCCTCCAAAGTATACTGTGGCGGATGGGGCAGGGGATGGGGACCAAAAAGGGGGTTAAAAAATTGTCGACAAATTCTTTACATATTTAAAACAGTTATTTATAGTTGTATTTTTTAACCATCGTCAAGGCCGAGTTCTATTTCCCTACAATCAAACACACGCTGTCGCCGGCAAAATTCGTTTTTAAAAAACAACAAAGTCCATAGCACGAAAAGCCGCTACATATGAAGTGGGCTTGCAATACTTTCATTATGCGCGGTTCTTATTTGCGGCATTGGTAGGGGACCCGAAATCCATTGTACATTTTTCAATGTTAATATGTGTTTGTGATAGTGGTTGAATTTGTATCCTGTACTATCTTGTATCGTACAAATAATAAAAAAAATATATATATAATACTAGAAACTTCAGTTTTATATACGTTTACTTGTTTTTTATTTTACAAGAAGTATAGTAAACTTTTAAGGCCTATACTTCAAATTATCTCCCCTGAGTAAGTTTTACAATGGGCGATGCTGACATACATAGATCAAGGCGTTTTGTTGTCCCTTTCAAGTTTTTTCCCGAGCCGACCCCTATCCCATCCCTCTTTCTCAACCTCACAAGTATCGAGGAGATAAATGTATCGTTTATGAACTACTTCCTAACCGTACGATTCACCACTTCAGAACATTTTGTCAGACACTAGACAGCACTAGATCTAGTCAACACATATTAATTTACTTTCATAGTATTAGGCACATCTAATTCACAAAACAGGGCAGGTAAGATTATTTTTTATATAATTATTTAGAAATTAATTAGAACGTTTAGAATTAATTGAACATTATTAATAGTCATTGAGGTGGGGGGGGGTGTGAGGGTCAGGCTTTTTGTTAATCCCCCCCCTCCCCTAAATCAGAAGGTTATCCAACGCGTGACCTGGCCACATAAAGTTGTACATGTGAAAAACATTTTTCTCTCTATTATTATTATGCATTACTGCATCATTCACCCAATCGCCATGAAAACTTGGGAAGCTGTTGAGTACAGCCCCGAAAGGTTTCTGTCATAGGCCTAACATTTGTACATATTCGAGTGGGGACTCCTAACGGAAATATGTGATTTAGCGCCCCGTGATCCTGCATAAGCGGATGAGGTTACTACTTGAATACAACTGGCGTCAGTGTCATCCTGAGCGCATCACATATGAGCAAGTTGGCCACCACAGACAGTAGTTTAAAAGTTCCCACAACACTAGGAATAAGTCTCGCTACTACACTCGATGACTAAATCTAATTGGCCGATTCTAGTCGGAATAAGATACGCATGCGATACGCATGCGCAATGGAGAGAAACTACGACTTAGCGGCGATGTTTTCGATGGTACTGCGCATGCGTGTGTTTACAACCGCAGAACCCTAATACCAACCCTAATCCTATCCTTAACCCTATCCCTAACCCTATCCCTAATCCTATCCCTAACCCAAACACTAGCCCTAATCCTATCCCTAATCCTATCCCTAACCCTATCCCTAATCCTACTCCTAACCCTCATTCTAGCACTAACCCTAGCCATAGGTCACTGCGCATGCGCAGAACTATCTTTTGCCGAAAAATCTTATTCCGAGTAGACACTTCGAATCTAATTAGGTGTCGCACCAATGTTTCTTCCAGGGTAGACTGTTTTCGGGGGAGGGGAGGGGGGGGGGGGGGAGCTCTGCCGGAAGAAACAATGTGTCACACCCATCACCCGTGCAGTAATGTAACCGGTAGGTCCAAGAGCCCCGTGACTCCCCTGACACCTGGGCCGTCGCCGAGGGATTTACAGCATGCCTTGGCGTGTCTAGTTGTTAGTGTGGACAAACCCGCGCCCTAAGATCCAAGAAATGAACTGCCGACATTGTTAACATTTAATTCAACTTCTGGAAAACAGGGCACACGGTTAGTAACGTTTTGATGAAAGCCTCAGTTTAGTGTGTTGGACTAGATTTAGAAAGGGGCCAGCTCGTGTGTTGGAAAACCTCTGATTTATTCGTGTACCAGATGGAATTTTTTTTAAATTGAGAGCGAACCTTGTTATATATATATATATATATATATATATATATATATATATATATATATATATATATATATATATATATATATATATATATATATATATATATATATAGGGCCCAAAAAAATTCTTCGGGGGGGGGGGGGGGGGGGGCTTTTTTTCTAGTTCCGCCACTGATACACATGTTGTTGTGGTTAGTTTTAATTGAATTTTTTTTTTCAAAACCGATCAGGCCAGATATGAGTATCCTATGTTCGTATTGCGTGTTTATATTTATATATATATATATATAAATATATATATATATATATATATATATATATATATATATATATATATATATATATATATATATATATATATATATATATATATATATATATATATATATATATATATATATATATATATATATATACATATATGGGGGGCCCAAAAAATTTTTTTGCGGGGTGGCCCATTTTTTCTAGTTCCGCCACTGCTACGACACTACGACTCTCAATGACACTAGGTTCGCCGAGCGACTAGTGGCGTTAACTTTCAATGCTGCAACCTCCCCAAATGAGACAGGTCAAGCAGAGTTTCTTCCAGGCATCTCTTCAGGGGGGGGGGGGGGGGGCTCCGAAGAAAGTCTACCGCCCCCCGACCGAAATGGAATGTATATAGAAAATATATACTTTTAACAGTGAACGCCCCCCCCCGGAAATTTTAGTCCGCCTCCCCCCCCCCCCCCCGGGGAGAAAAAAGTCTAGAAGAAAGAAACACTGAGGTCAAGACATTGAATAATTACTGACACTCTAATGCCGGGTTGGAAATACCATGCCGCCAGACCCAGCAAAGTGGTGGGGGGGGGGGGGGCTGTCTCTTTCAGATTTTTTTCTCCGGGGGGGGGGGGGGGCAGTGTTTCTTCCAGCCATCTCTTCGGGAGAGAGGGAGCTCCGAAGAGAGTCTGCCGCCCCCCCCCCCTCCCCCGAACGGAATGGAATTTATAATATAGAAAATATATACTTTTAACAGCCCCCCCCCTCCCCCCTGGAGAAAAAAAGTCTGGAAGAAACACTGGGGGAGGACAACATTTTCTGGGTGGGGGGCGAACACTGGTAAAAGTATGTATTTTCTATATATCTATATAAATTTCCATTTCGTTCGGGGGGGTAGGGGGCTAGATGAAGAGATGCCTGGGAGAAACACTGGGTGGTATGATAGCGTAGGCAGGCCGTAATAATTTTTGTTTAAATGTAAACATTTAATTTTCGTGCCTTTTTGCTGCGTTTGGATTATCTTCTAGTCACTAGACCACGCTCTCCCAAAAAATAAAAATAAAAACCACTACACAGACTGTAGTGTAAAAAATAGGCAAAACTGCCAAAACCTCATATTTTAAATTAGTTCCGTTTGAGAGCCGATTAGAGGGCATGAAACATGTTCACACACTGGCATTATAACTGGTTTACCGGACATCGAAAGTGTGCTGTGGCTGGGATGGAGTCAGGGCAGGCGCTACTTATAAGGCGAATTATGCGGTCGCCTAGGGCGCTATCCATAACGGGCGCAAAAATGTGTAATAGCTATTATTAAAAAGTACCTAACAATTAGTAGCTTTGATTATATTATATAAACTAAAGAAAGGGTAATATTCAAAGGCGTAGCGATCTATCACGGTGCCCAGTACGAGCTATCAATGTTGCACCCCCTCCTCAAATTAGGACTATATGTAGTTATTCGCACGGGTAAAAATTCGCCCCCCCCCCCTCTCTCTTTCTCTCATTTGGAAAGGTCGGGGCGCTGTTTACCAGTCTTCTTGGCTTTTTATTTTGGTGTCACGCAATTGAAGCACATAAAATTGAAAGAAGTCCGCAATGCCAAGTAGCAGTCAACATTTCGACTGTATATAATTTAGTAATGAGCTTTTTATATTATTATCTACCATGTTTAGCGCCCCCTTTGAGTCGACACCTGTGG